GTGGAGGTGATCTCTCGGATACGTTGACCCCAACACAACAACCTTATCTCTTCGATCCATTATTACTACCGAGAAGTAATGCCTGAGGTGGATCATACGCACATGCGAATAGAGCCCCGTGGGTATCATCGTCGCTGAGATGAACGCCAGGAAGGAGTTTGTTGAGACGACGGGTTATGGGTGGGATGTACTTCTTGCCCCAAATGGCTCCTGGCGTCTGATAATATTCAAGCATAAATGAATCGCGAACGAATTTTTAATGTGATAAACTGACGGTGGTAGGGTTCCAGCTTTCACCCCAAGCGGGACATTCCATGAATGGACGAATCCAATTATTGCCCCCGTCCGGAAGGGTTATAAACTCAGCGTCGGATACTTTCATTCCTAAGTACCCTTGTCCAAACCAGTGTGAGGATTCAATAACTCTTGCTTCGTTTCCAGCCACAAAAGTTTCAGCGTGTAGGTGGGGATAACGGAATAAGAAACTGAAGGATCGTGAGTTTGGATATCAGGAAAAAAGTATTGTATGCATACTCAACACCGTGATCAAACAGCTGCTTTCGTCCAACGGCAGTCAGTCTACCGATTTGGAGGTTCGTGACATAGCCTTGCTTTAGAAACTGCAGACTGTCGGGAAGCGTCGCATTCGCGATGGCTTCGGAAGCGTTGCCGAGTTTGTATGTTAATCCTTGAATGAGAGGTAACTCGTATTCCAGAGGTTCCCTCGAACCATGTCGGTGGATCTGCAAGATTGTCAGCAATGATGTGAGTTATTGGTGGCTCAAAAACTCGCAAGCATGACTTGGTCGACAGAGCAATCATCTGGGAGTCCTCTGATACCTTCTACTATAGGAGCCTTCTTGTATGGTGTTAAAGTTCCTAGCCTCAGTGTATCGCTAGGAGGATCATCCTGGTGCAGGAAACCAAGAGTGAAGGGGAGGAGATTGAGAAGAGCTGGGATATACATTGCGTGTCCACAACACGATACCCAACGAGTTACATAGGGTTTTTATATGTGCTCAGTATGTGTAAACCCTGAAAATGGAAGCGTAATGCTCGGATGCGAAGAGAAGGCGGTTTTGCCTGAATGTCATGTCAGCTTCCATGCCAGAGCATCAGCGCCGCAATGGTTGGAAGATCCGAGCTATATGTTGATGCGAAGTCCTACACAGCAGCAACGTAAAGCCTACCATTCAATTCCGTTAGACCTGAAGGGAACTTCGAAAAATGGAGATCAAGTCATACAGCAACTCAATTACTCCATCATACTTTGCACGTTTAGACTATTCTGTCAGCCCACACAGAATCTCCCCGCGGCGTGTTACACGCAGAGCAAGCAAGATGTTGTGGTGCATTAGTCCTACTATGAAGGTCAATATTTCGAGTACCCTCCAGTGGGAGAAAAACTTGCAATGTACAGACCAAACATGCCCAACCTCCCACGAGTATATTGTCGGGACGATGATCATCCCAGCAGCTCGCAGTATCATTCATTTCACTGAGTTCCACTGGCTGTTTCCTGTTGCGCTTCCCATTGAACGCATGCTGATCGCCGTTCGGAACAGGAGAAAACGCGTCCAAAATTGTCGATTGCTTGGATGCCTGAGACTGTTGTCTATCTACTTCACCTTTACGACCTCGTTTGCCCCGCACTGTGGAGTCACCATTGGAACGAAGATTCGACGGCCCCGCGATCGAAGCTTCATCAATGAGCGCACTATTCGAGCCGTTAATGGCATGCGTCCCACAAGTTTTGGGAGGAAGATTAAAATCATCCGAGAAATCAAATAGCGAGATCTTGAGCTCATCCAGATCTTGCTTTCCTATCGTATCCAGCATAATTAAACGGCGATCTTGATCGGTTTCCCTATTTGAATCGCTATCGGATCCAGATTCATCGTCTTCTACTTTAGATAATCCTTCAGAAACTGGTGCTAAGTTTCGCAAGCGGCGCTCTGCAGCCAAAGCTCTTTCCTCCCGGGCACGTTTGCTGTTATTTTTGATTAGTAAAGCAGTGAGGATGACACAATGGCTTTGGGACTGATATTATGCACAAGCGATCATACTCACCTGGTCGCTTTCTTGCGAAAACCAGTGCCCTGGTTCTTCTGATCTCCTTCCGCATCTGCGTTCAGCGTGGTTCCTCCAGATCCAAATACCTGAGCCGTCACTCTGCTCCCGATTTTGCGCTTTTTGGCGGTTTGTGCACCAGTGTGGTTCGACGGCCCAGCCTGGAGCCGCTGTCGTCGTTTCCTAAGCGCTGAAGGGCGAGCGCGGGACTGAGCTCCACCACACTACGAGAGTTTAATACATGAGTCCGATAAGAAAGTAACATCACGCACCATATATTCTGGAAGATCCCCATATTCGATGCCTTGACCGGTAATCCTGGCGGAATCTGCCAGTCGGGTTCCCGATGACCAGTAACCTGATTCCCACAGTTTAGTTCATATTGCAGAGGTATATGCGTCTGCCTACCATCACCGTAATATCCCTTGTTTTGAAGGGCGCGAACCTCATTTCGGAGTTGCCTCCAAAGTGATTGAAAGTCGGGTCCATGGTTCATATGCTGCATTTCGCTATAATTAGGGGTCAAGAGAAAAAATGAAGGGAACAAACCGTTATGTGAGCGAGCTATGAGTTCCATACACCACAACATTAATGGGACGATGAGCTAAAATAGTGAATCAAGAGCTCACTTCGTGACACAATGTACTCATGAGCCAGTGAGTCGGAAGTAGCATGCCACTGGCTGACCTCAAAACTAGTTCTGGACCGTCGATTCAGACTGTTTAAATCATAATTTATTTTCAACACCGCTGCTGCTCACCAATTGTTTCGCCGTTGTTCCAATTCCGACCCGCGAAGACACGATTGTATTCGTACTTGAGGCGAATAACTTTAGAATTGGAGCTCTACATGAGCGAACGTTACATGTTTTTCGTACCTCTTCGAAACTATTGACAGCAAATCCATGTGCTGCCATGATGGGCTTGACTTGGGCTGCGAGAGCGCGCATCAACTGTCGAGCAACCTCCTCTGACGCGGAGTCTGGCGCGTGTAGAACAGAGATAAAATTGACGTGAGGATTAGGATTAGATTCCCGTTCGTTGATGCGGATATGGACCATTTATATTTCGTTACAAATGAGAAAAATACAAGACCTTATGCATGTATGTGAAGAACTTGAGAGCCCCAATGGTAGAGGGAGAAAGCTTCTGGTTGTGGCATGGGATGGACGGCGTTTGCCGCCGTCAGCGAACAGATTCGTGTACTGTATGCAACATTGATACAAAAAGCGACAGGCCTGGGACTCGAACCCAGAATCTCTAGCGAATCAGCCTCCGGAAACTAGCGCGTTACCATTACGCCAACCCGCCTGGTAAAGTAGCCCTCCCGTTGACTTCCAACACAGGCAGAAACCATTTTACCACGCCACCTGTTTATTGCTAGCATCCCTCATCACTTGGCAAGGCTGAGGTTTCTGAGGAGTTTTGTCTTTTTCAATAATCTGTGGTTGTTCAACCAGTGATCCAATTTCCCTCGTGATTTTATCCAGCCGTCATGTCATTTTTCGGAGGGGGAACCACTTCTACCACCACTCCAGCTGTAGCAGATAAAGACATTGAAGTACCTGAGCCACCCGCTGACTCTATATCTTCCCTTGCTTTCTCTTCTGCTGCAGATTATTTGGCAGTTGGCAGTTGGGATAATAATGTAAGTCATTTTAAGCCATCATCTGAGTCGAATTTCACGCGTCGATCACGTCGCTGATAGGTTCGACTGTACGAAGTCGGTCAGGGTGGGCAGACCCAAGGCAAAGCCATGTACTCCCACCAAGGACCTGTATTGAGCGTGTGCTGGAATAAGGTCAGATAAGATCATGTTCATTCCTCTCTATTCTCACTGTGATAGGCGAAATCAGGAAGGAAACAAAGTGATATCGGGAGGCGCAGACAATGCTGCACGCATGTTTGACATCACAACCGGACAAGCTCAACAAGTGGCACAACATGAAGCTCCTGTAAAAGTTGTCAAGTGGATAGAAACGCCTCAAGGAGGGATTCTTGGTACGGGCAGCTGGGACAAAACTGTTAAAGTACCTCGTTTTCTTTTCACAGATATAACACCGCTGATGTCACCGCAACTACCAGTATTGGGACATGCGGTCGCCAACACCGGTCGCCACGGTCCAACTCCCTGAACGCTGTTACACCATGGATGTGCAATATCCCCTCATGGTAGTAGGCACCGCTGAACGCCATATTCAAATTTTCAATCTCACCAATCCCAACACGCCTTATAAAGTAAGAAAGAGAACGCACCGATTACCACAAAGTCTAACAGCTACACAAGACTATCACATCTCCATTAAAATGGCAAACACGAGTAGTGTCGTGCTTTACTAACTCGACGAACAGCGGTTTTGCAGTTGGTAGTGTGGAAGGCCGTGTCGCGATCCAGTGCGTTATTTGTACGCAATCGATACAAAGCAAACTAACCTTATGTGTCAGATATGTTGAAGATAAGGACAATGCGTAAGTATATTAACGCGATAAGATGGTGCAACATCTCAATACTATCATTTGCATAGTAACAACTTCTCTTTCAAGTGTCACCGTCGAGATCAGACACCAAGTGCAAAAGATCAGTCCCTTGTGTACGCGGTCAATGACATCTCATTTCATCCTGTACATGGAACCTTTTCGACTTGTGGTGAGTTTCATCACTAATCCCTACTCTTTTTTTTCTGAACTAAAGGCCCGTGAAGGATCCGACGGGACCATCCACTTTTGGGATAAGGATGCTCGCACTCGTCTAAAAAGTGATCTCTTACGAGTTCCCAAATTATTTCCCCCTACTGACAATGATTTAGCCTTCGATGCTGCACCGGGACCTATCAGCGCTACTGCATTCAATCGGAACGGCACCATTTTCGCTTATGCTGTATCTTACGATTGGTCGAAAGGTCACAGCGGTATGACACCTGGCCACCCGAACAAACTTATGCTCCACGCGTGCAAAGACGAGGAAGTGAAGAGGCGTCCTGCTAAAAAGTGAGGGTGAAAATTTATTCCTCTGCTGATCATTTGGGTGCGCGTCTATCAATAGCTTAACCTTGTGTATATACATCGATGTTGCATTAATAACACGGCGAGCTTTATACCTGGATTGTGAGCCGCAGACGCCCCAGCTGACATATGTGAGCTCTCTCGCCGACTCAGAAGAAAGAGGTCACTGCATCGACATATTTATAACGACTGTGACTGCTATATTTGAGGGGCTTCACAACTTGGACTGTTATTGTCATAGCCATGCGCGCAGTCGTCTGTCCTCGGGTACCCATCTCCCCTTCTGACCTTGTCTATACGACAACTCATCCAGCTCCTGGGCCAAGGGCAGGATATGTCCTCATCAGAGTGCGAGCATTTGGACTTAATCGCTCAGAATTGTTTACTCGCCAGGGACATTCTCCTGGCATTAAATTCCCTCGTGTTTTGGGTATCGAGTGTGTTGGTGAAGTAAAAGATGCAGGGGGAGGCCGTTGGAAGGAAGGAGACGTAGTAGCTGCAATGATGGGCGGAATGGGTAGGCAATTTGATGGTGGGTACTAGAGACAATTATACCACTGTCACAGTCTTATCACTATCATATTGACAGGTGGATATGCTGAGTACACATCGGTGCCCCAAGGATCTGTGTCTCCCCCTATCAAGCTTCCTAAAGGCATGGGATGGGACACGTTCGCAGCTATCCCAGAGACTTTTCTTACCGGTATGGGGTCGTTACATTTATCTCATCTCAGTCGCCCTTACTACGATTGTCTAGCCTGGGGCACTTTGCATGACCTCAAGTTGAGCTCCAAGGACTCGCTTTTGATCAGAGGGGGCACAACCAGTGTTGGTCTTGCGTGTATCACGCTCGCGAAGTCATCGCTATTCAATTGTCGTCAAGTAATTGCCACTACTCGGTCACAAAAGAAAGTTCTAGCTGTCAGCACGAACGGTGCAGACGAGGTTATTGTTGACACTTCTGGTTCTATCGCCGATGAGGTGAAGAAGCTTACTGGGGGAAAAGGCGTAGACAAGTGTGTGGAGCTTGTTGGCGGACCAACTCTTCCAGATTCTTGTGCGAGCTTGGCACCAGACGGGACAGTGAGCATGATTGGTTGTGTATCAGGGGAGTGGACATGCAAGAACTTTGATCCTATGGCATGCCTTGCTCCGAGAAAGGTGAGGTCATTTTATGGTTACGGATTCTAATTTTGTGCCTAACGGTGCATTGCCGAAGCATTTGACAATGTTTTCCTCTGGGACGGTCGACACATCCACAGCGCCGCTGCAGTGGATTGTTGATGGGGTAGCGAACGGGGAGATTAAACTTGAAATTGATAGGGTGTTCAAAATGGAAGATGCTGGGGAAGCTCAACAACACATGGAAGCAAACCATGCAGCTGGAAAAGTGGTCTGTGTCGTTGATTGAAGTATACTCGCGCACTGAAAGATCTTTGCGGTCAAATGCACGCACCTGCATTACGGAGTTCGCCTTTTAGACTGTTATCAAACAATGTTTATTTGTCAGACACGCAGAGCTGTCGAGGAATTGCTAATTGCTTCTAATCGTTGACAAGAAAACAGGGTATGGTAGAATGCAATGGATACAAATGTAACAAAATGTAACATAATTATCAGCATTGGCCAATGTAAATGTATCCTCATAATAGAAGATCCAGCGCGGCACTGCTTAGTCTAATGTTGCCTCGGACGAATTCAAAGCGTCTTCTTGACTTCTAATAAAGGATCTAGATGTGATTCAGGTTGACGATAAGAGCCTCCCATTCGGTCAGCCCATGTGAAATACTGTAGTGCAAGTTAGTACACGTGAAATACCATAAATTGATGGAATACTGACTTGGCCATAGTTGACTGTGAAATAAAGATGATGCAGCGTATGATGTGCAGGTCCATTAATAACCTTTTCAAGCGCGTGCCCTGTTATCATGTCCGAATCATGGATCTGAATCGTACTAATTAGCAAACATGAGGTATCGATCAACATGCCAACTTACAAATATACTCCAAAAGTTGACAAAGACAAAGAGCGCCAGGTACAGCCATCGATGGAGAGGGAATATAAATATGAAGAGGTGATATGGCACAGATTGTAAATATCCGTCGACTGGGTGGAAGGCGTGGGATGCAAAAGGCGTGGGGACTATGCACACATCAGAGTGGTATCAAAATTTTGAAGGACGCCACTTACTGATCCACTTGTGATGGGGCTTGTGGAATGTTTTATATATACTTGGGTGATGCAGAAGACGATGTACCCAATAGATACCATAGTCTGTGAAAAGTAGGAAGCTATGAAATAATTAGCGTTGAACTCGAGCGTTGCTCTTCTGAACTTACAACGGTATTGAGAGAACGAAGTACGTCCACCCATAATCCCCTACGTTGTCATACAATCTTGAGTATCCCATGACCTCGGCTTGGAACCAAGGGAGAGTTAAGAGCGTCATCATGGGAAACGCGCGCAAACTACATTGAATTTCGAGTTTGACTTGGTCCTTTAGGAATCGTGGGTGACGCATCATTTCATGGTTGAAAATGAGCATGTATGAAAGGCCAGCGAATATAAAATAGAGCAGGTGAATGCCAATCAACGTGATTATGCTGAGAGATAGGATTTGTCGCGGTACATAATCGCGAGCCCATGCAGACTTTGCAGACCAAGATATTGATGAAAGGTTAGCAGAGTTTGATATTGTGAATGATGATTCGAACAACGCGTTAGTATTTGGCACGAGTCGGGCCCAGGCTTTGTCTAGGATGTAGTCATCTGCAATACCGAGAACGAGATCCATTGGGAAGAACTCGAACTGAAGAAATTGAGCGCTGATGACAAGGGAGTAGTGGAAAATTCAGGAGAACATTATTATGAGTGCTTTTATGCGATCGCCTAAGTATCAGGCCACTTTTTTTTCGGGTAGTTCATCGGACCTATAATGACAAATGCATCCCTAATTGGGATAACATTCTAACCCAGCGATTTTTCCGCAATTACTCAGATGATATCAGAACTACCCGATGCGGGCCCAATGCATCTCAACCGTGGTTGTGGTTGAAGACCAGGCGTTGTGGTGCAACATGTGCACTGTTCCTGACACGTTTTCGCTCAGTTGTTGTTGCATGCCGAATTTGGAGCACCACCAGCGTCTGGGATGAGTCGAGTACTTACATAAAGCCTAGATTCGCGGCATGAAGAGATTGAACTTATTACGGCGCTATTACTTTGAATCGAATGACAGAATAAATGCCGTCTATACCATAGTCAACACTCGAAAAGAAACGGGTAATCTCTGAAATTGAAACCTCGC